TCATCAGTTCTGTAAAGTGCCAGCGCATGACCAGTAAAATCTATAACATCTTGGCCCAAGTCAAATTTCTTATACACATCTCGCATTGTAGTCTTCTTAGGATCAACGCCCTCAAAAGTTCTAGCATCATTTTCATCGAAGTTGGCAACATATACCAGGAATTTTCTGAATCGACGTTTTTCAAATAGTCCCATTAAGCTAGATGCCAAGGCTTCTGCTTCAGTGGAAGGAACCTTATAGATTTTTCCTCCCTTATAGATAAAGCTCCCTCCAGTTACTTTGAAATCCAGGTAACGAGTAACCTCTGTATAAAGCAGCATCTTAACCAGTTGACCATTAGCCATAAGGAACTTGGGAATTAAGTCAACATTCCAGTCTCTTCCTCTCCCCATTGATGCTGGTGGTGATCCTGGGATTTTAAATCTTTTGTATAAATCTTCCAGTGGCGTTATGGATGCACTTTCTCCTCCATAATATGGATTTCGATCCATATGAAGAACTTTCTTTCCATTCACGGACAGTATGCCTGACAGGATGCATTCCGTCAGGCCAGTGCCCAGCACGATCACGTCGTACTCCTCATTCATGGCGGGGCAGGGAGACAGGGCAGGGACCCTGGGACGCAGAGGGGGTTATCTAGGAACCTCTGGAAGGCGGCGGGAGAGCTCAGGCCGGTTTCTGGGCCCAAGAGGAAGACAGAGGCGGGAGAGAGAAAATGGAACTGAGAAGGAGGCGGAGGCGAAGGCGCCCGCCAGCTCAGACGGCGAGAGAAGCCCATAAAATTATTTTCATTGCTACTTCATAACTATAATTTTGCTACTGTTAGGAATTGGACGACCCCTGTGAAACGATCGCTCAACCCCCAAAGGGGTTGCGACCCACAGGTTGAGAACCGCTGCAATAGAGTTATATATTAGTTTGAGATCTAATTCCAGGTTGTACCTATCATGAGCTGTTCAGGAAATGATGACATAATAATTAATTAGAACCAATTAATAAAAACTTGTGAAATTATACACAAACAATAAAGCTTACATAATTATTTTGATTTCTACCAAGCATCACAATTTACTTTTTTAGGCTTTCCGTAACATTTAACTTCATACCTTTTACAAGTGTTAGAGGTTATCCTAATATGTTCATCTTGGTAAAATATTAAATCCTTTCCACCTCTCATTTGCCCTCATAAAATATGAGTCTTTATTTTGTTCACTGATAATATTCTCTATGATAACATCTTCATAGCTTAGATTCCTGAAGCACACGGTTCTACAATCTTCTACCCTCCTTTCTTTTTCCTCTGGCACATTTTCAAACCTTGTATTTCTGCCACAACATGAGACATTTCCATAAAAACTATTCAAGAGCCTTCATGAACCAATAAAAATAAGCAGCCTGGTTGTATTAAATGGGCAATGAATATGAAGACTAAATTAATAGAATACACTTTAACAATCATTAAGTATATGGAGAAATGTTTACTGCCACAAATAACAAGGCAAATGCATGCTTTAAGCACAATAACACACAGTCTCATCAGCCTGCAAGTCGTTCACGACTGAAAGTCTGAATTTGGAGGTGTGCAGAACCATGAACCCTGGTCCACTGTTGATGGGAAGTGTCAATTGGACTGCCTACTTTGGAGGATAACCTGCCAATATTTAGCAAATATCTAGTATCTAGCACAGTAAGGAGTCCTGAGTTTGTGAAAGAGTTACACTGCCTGGTTGCTAATCGAAATGTCAGAGGTTCAAGTCTAGCTACAGCGATCTCATGAAAGAGGCCTGGTGATCTACTTCCAAAAAATCAGCCACAGAAAACTCTACCGAGTGCAGTTCTACTCTGGCTTCATGGGATCACCGGGAGTCGAGATCAATGCCAAGGAAGAGTGGTTCCTATAAATACGCAGTCAAGGTTTTTACAGCCCAAATCCATTCAGGTAGGAGCACAAAGAGCACTGGATACGAAGCTTGCAGTATTGTTCGAGACGGTGACAAAAGGAAACAAAATATGACATCAATAAAAGAACAGGTAAGTCAATGGCGGAGCATTTACAGATCAGAGACAATGAACAAACTGAAGCCAATACTAACAATATAGAGACACCTTATTAGTATAATGTTGAAATTTTAAAGCAATTTATAGGAGAAATATAGCATATTACTATTACTTAAAGCTGTAAAACACACAAAATAGGATGAAAGACTACATTTTAAGTAAGAGTGTAAAGACTTAATGTGAGAGTGATCAAATCCAAATTAAGCCACTTATTTTGGAGGAAAAGGAGATAGAGAGATGTACAAAGGGATACTCATTTACGATCATGAGGAGGTACCCCCCAAAACTGATGTTCATCTGCTTTTTTGATATGAGAGGGATAATGCATTTGGGGTTCAATCTACCAGCTCCAAGTGTTAATCAAGTTTATGCTTTATAGGTTCTGAAAAGATTGAGTAACAGTGTGTGACAAAAAAGGCCTGATTTGTGGCAGACAGGGGACTGGTTTTGCAACCATGACGATGTACCTGCTCACACAGCCATCTCAGTGAACCAAGTTTTGGCAAAAAACAGCATGCCTCTCTTGTCCCACACACCTGTTCACCTAACCTTGAGCCATGTGACTTTCTGTTTCCACAAATAGAGAGGGGCATGGAAGGACGGCAATTCGATGAAGTAGAAGACGTGAAGAAAAACAGGAGGTGCTGTGCTTTCAGCCATCCCAACAGATGAGTTTGAAAAAGGTTTCAAAGAACGGAATCAAAGGTCTGACCCAGGATTAAGCATAATGGAGAACACTTTGAAGGTGATAAGGTGTTTTGTTTAAAAATTTTAAAACATAGCTTTGAAAAAAATTCCATATTTTTTGGTGTACCGCCTTGTATTATTATTATTATTATTGGTATTATTAATTTGGTATTTTTCATGCTTGTCGTTGCTGTATTATTCCTATTCCCTGTGTACTTCTAAAATACATCCTTTGTTTAATCTTAAAATAAAAGCAATACTGAACTCTTGGTTGTAGAGATTATTATGGATCATGGCATGCAAATTCCTCTTTGCTTTTCATCCTGACCTTCAACACATTTTCGGATGTTCTGTGCAAGGTTCCGCACACTGCTGGGAAGGTTCCAAGGATCTTGCTTGATGTGAAGCCTTAATCTCTTTGGACAGCTCAGCTTGGGCTCCAGTTCCTGTTGAAATTCTAAACCAACACAGACAGCCTCTCTTAAGTAGCAGCTCTTGGCAAACAGTTAACAAGCCCACAGACTTCAACATCCCCTTTCATTTATCACTGAGTTCCCATTGCGCTATCACGGTGATGATGTCTTTCATGATACCACAGGAGACAATTTGCTAAAGCTGAACATGTCAACCGTGAATGTTATTTTCTTACAAAAGGTATAAACAAGCCAAAAAGAGGGCACATTTAAATGAATATGCTCTTTATTTATAATATCCTAAACCAGCTATCAGACAGGGGTAGCTTTCCATCCTGTACGGAGTGATGGCCTCCCCTTCTCCACTGCCCCTGCTCCTCCATGGAGCTGTGAGCAAGCTGATACACACCTGGCTTCAGCAAGAACAACTGAATACTTAAAACCCTTCCCTGTGTTCCTTCCTTTTCAGCCTGATCTTTATATCTTTCTAGGAACTCTAAGAGAGCTTATCTTAACACGCTTCACTTCATTCCTTTCCAGGAAATCCAGTAGGTCACATATAAGTGTATTACCAATGTAGAAATAAATAGTGAAATATGATCAGGCAAAAAATGTTCACCTTTTAGTAGAATTCTGCTTTGTGACTATTTTATCTGCCATTTTTGATTTCCCGAATGACTGCAGTCCTTATTTTTTAAACTTACCTTGCAATCCTCGACCTGGTGTGAGGTATTTGGTTTGTTCAAAGACCCTCACTACGGCTTGCCCTTTGAGGAGATTGGTAATCGAATCCACCTATCAAGAGTAGAGATGTTTGAGAGTTACTTCCTTTCCATAATATACATGTCTCTAGGAATATATCCTGTGAAATAATTTTTACTAAAGATTCAAGTACTTTTGAAATCCCATGACACTTGCAAAATATGATTTTTAAGTTATATGTCAGAATAACCCATCTGATGATATTTTTCTTGGCATTTCTTACTTTCGTTCTGAATATTAATATGAAAGAAACATTCAGCTCACAAAATAAATGACAAGTTTTTGAGTTGTCAGAGGTAAAAACATACAAAATGGAAGAATGAAATACAATTTTTGTTTTACAAAGTAGAAAAGTGATTATAGTTTCTATACTATGGAGTTAAGATATATATATATATATATGTAAAATGCCCATTTTTTGAAATTTGGAGAAAAGTTAGAAAGATATAACTTAAAAGATTCTGTAAATCCACTACTAGGTGCCTATCTTTCAAAAAATTTTTAACTAAACCCAAAAGGGATTGCTCACAGTTTAGTCTGCGGGAAAAGACTCACCACTGTCTCTCTCCTACCTGGCTGAAAAGATGCTCCAGGCAGCTGTGTATCTTGTCCTGTTTATCATGGGAAATGCGAACACTCAGGGGAAGTTCATCACCTAGGTGTTGAAAACGTCAAAGATCATTCATCTCCCAATGTACACATCTCATGACATTTTAATATCAAAATTAAAATCAATTAAACACGACCACTTATTCCATTCAGTACTTCCCAAACTTTTATAGAATAATTCCAAAAGGTGTAATAGCTAGTAGGATGTCAGATCCCCACTTGTCTGTCAGTTCATTGTACTGTGGTGGCTTTTCTCTTGCTGGGATGCTGGAAGATACGCGACTGGAATTTCAAGTACCAGCAGGATCACGCCTGGTAGCTGGGCTCCAGTGGAGCTTACAAGTTAAGAACAGACTCTAGGAGAAGAAACATGCTGCCTAATTCTGTGGGATTAGCTATGGAAAACCTTATGAATGACAATGAAACATTGCCTGATATCATGCCAGAAGCTGACCCCTTCAAAATAGAGTACCTTATTGACATGGAAGGAACAAAGCCTTTGGGACTTTCATTTGCTAAATGGGCACAACATAATAGGAGAAGAAGTAGTTGCAAGCACCCAAGCAGAGGGTCAGCACACAAAGAGATCTCAATAAGATGGACTGACCTAGGGGATGGAAAATGGGATCAGACATAACAGCAACGGTGAAGATGGCCCAGGACTGCTTCCCTTGCGTAGCACACAGGGCTCCTATGAGTTGGAGCCAACCCAACAGAACCCAGCAACAACAGTGACTCAGGTGATTGCCAACTTGCCTCATAGAAAGAACAATGTGATTTTACGTTTAAGTCATGAGTTCAATTGCACGTTTTTCCTAGTGATAAACTAGTTGAAATGAACTGTGCCCTTAAAAGTTAAAATTTGTCCTGTTCAATGAAGTCTTCATTCTGAACACACAGAAGAAAGATACCAGTATTACTAAGTGTTTTCTTATAACTGCTTTCCCTGTCTCTCCCATCTAAGGATGCATCCTCTATCTTTAAAGCCCACAGTGTTGAACCAGAGGGCCGCTCTGGTGGGGGAGAAAGTAAGAACTGGGGCTGCTAATGGCAAGGCCAACAGTTTGAAAACGCCAACTGGATGCTCTATTGAAGAACCGCTTTCTCCTTGCTTGAAGATTGACACTCTCAGAAATCCACAGGGCAGTTCTACGCTGCCTTACAGGGTCACCATTGGTTTGAATTACCTCAATGGTGGTTAGTTTCAAACTCCTTCCTACCACCTACTCCAATAAACAGTGCTCAATGCCTTTAGTAAAGCATATTTCCTATATACCTATATCCTTCTAGAAGGCTACAAAAACACCAAAACTAAATTCATTGCCTGTGATTCTTTTCCAACTCACAGCCACCCTATAGGACAAGACTAGAACGCTTCTTTTAGGGCTTCCAAAGCTGCCATCCTTATGGGATTAAAAATGCCACATCGTTCTCTCATGGAATTGCTAGTAGATTTGAACCACTGTGTCACCAGAGCTCCTAAAAACTTTTCATAAAAATCAAAATTAAAAAAAAAAAAAAGGCCATTGCCATCAATTCGATTCCAACACATTTGACCCGATAAAGGGTTTAAGATGATAACTTTGACAGGAACAGCATTATCTTTCTCCCATGGAGAAGTTGGTGTGTTTGAACTACTGATCTTGTGGTTGACATCCCAATGCCTAACCGACAGTGCCACCCTTCCATTCACCCATGATTCCAGTTCACCAATTACTCTAACAGACAGAGTAGAACTGTCCCTTTGGATTTCAGAGGCTCCACACCTACATAGGAACAGGAGCCTCGTCTTTTTCCTGAGGAGCGGGTGGTAGGTTTGAACAGCTGACCTTGTGATTAACAGCCCAAGGCATAACCCCTTACACCACTAGGGCACCTGCAGCTCCACTATAATGCCATAACAATATTATAGCACACATACAAGGATAAACACCAGTTTGTCTATTTCAATACCTTGCAACTTATTGTTTAGAATGAGCTGTGGAAATGGACTTGTCAAGTGCGTGGAACTGAAATGAAGTGTGTGGACCAAGGATGACTGCCATAAGGTAAAAATGCCCCAGAGCCAAAGAGATGAGTACCTTCCAGGTACCACTGAGAGGAGCGACATGCAATCCCACACTCATGTTACCCCGACGCACCTGAATCCATCTCGTCGCTGTGAAAATACGAGCTGCACTGGCTGCTGCAGACACTGGTGAAGGAGGCAACAGAATTCCTGTTGCTGTTGCAGTCACTGAAAACGATGAGTGACACGGGACTTTAAAACACATTGTTTATGATATTACACAATAATACATATGTAACGAGGACCTCACAAGTTCATGGAAAATGGGATTCTAATACAATGGAATCTCCCATGACCTTTTTGTTATGTGCATATATTTGCATGCACACTAATATATGTACACACTTGCCCGTTCCATGTCTTCACATGTACATTTCAATAACATTATGCTCATCGTGTTGTGCAGTCAATAACCGCTACGTTTCAAAAATTTTCCATGACCCTTACAGAAGCTCGGTGAGCTTGTCAATATTTCTCTTAGGATTTCTTCCTACATGGACTTAATGTGCCAGAGTTTTACGTCTTAATCTGTCCTATAGACAATTAGGAGAAAGATGATCTTTTTCTCTAACAGCTTGTCTATTGAAAAAACAGTGTGTGTTAGAGTCAGTCAAACTCCTAAATGATCCTCGTAAATGTGCAGTTCGAAATCAGGAGTTGAGCTTTCCACCCTGTCTGGGAGCTTACATTGACATTGATCTGCCACTCTGAGTCCCCTAGGGAGGCCTGCCATTGTCCTCCTGTCCCTCAGAGCTCCGCCCAGGGCTTTACCCCTGGCAAACACTTGATAATGATGCTGCGGAAGGGAAATCATGTCCAAATTATCACGTGTGTAAACAGGGGCATCGCACAGGTTTCAGAAACCGTGCAGGAGGTACAACAATTTGATCCTCTCAGAATGTGTACAAAGAACATAGTAAGCTGGAATTTGACATTTTATCCTCACCCAGAATGTGACGGTGAGGATAATGTTAATTATTTGACAGGTAGAATCTGAAGTAAGAAGCATTTTTAGTCTCGCAATTTCCTGCTAGAGAAAAACCAGAGTCCTACTGAAGGAGCATATTGGTGATGCATGAGAAGTTAAAGTAAATGAAATGGTTGATCATTTGTGTTATGCATTATTAAATAATCAATTTACATATTCATTTTTACAACCTATTTGAAAATATGAAAATGAAATAACTGAGTAGTTAAGAGAGTAATTCTGGATCCAGACTACCTGGTTTCATGGTTTAATTATTTAACTTCTATTGATGGAGTTTCCTTCCATATAGAGTTTAATATACAGTCCCTCACATGGTGTTGCAGCGGGAATTATGTGAAATCTTCCCATTCCCCACTGTGCTCAGTAAAAATATGTTCCTAGGGTGTGCCAAAAAAATGTCTGATGAGAAAAACTTTCTCAATTAATGTTGACTCTATTTTTTTTAATTGTATAACACTCTAGACTGGTGGTTCTCAACCTTTCTACTGCTGTGACCCTTTAAAACAGTTCCTCATGTTGTGGTGACCCCCCAACCATAAAATTATTTTCATTGCTACTTCATAACTGTAATTTTGCTACTCTTAGGAATCATAATGTAAATATCAGATATGCAGGATGTATTAGGCAACCCCTGTGAAAGGACTGTTCGACCCCCAAAGGGATCGCAACGCACAGGGTGAGAAGCACTGAATTAGAGCCTAATTAGCTTCAAGCATAGAACATAAGAAGGGAGGAGTTGGTAAAAGCAGAAAACAAAACAACCCCCTCATACTCTACCTAATCATTCAGTAAGCAGAAACAAATATTGTTTTTAAGTTGATACAGATCCACTTTGATTACTTGCACTGCATGTAACACAATCCATTAATAGAATGACAAATCTCCTAAATTCGGTTCACACAACTAAAGAACAAAATGCTTCGAAGTCCTCAAATTATGAGACGTACCTGGAAGTGGAAGCGGCCCCCCTATGCTCTGTCTGGAGCTGGTAATAGTGGTGGTCATTTTACGGGAGTAACCCACAAAATCAGTAATTTTTGCTTTTTCCCAAGACGTTTGTGGAAAACTCAGAAACGCATTTGACTTTGCTGATGAACTACATTTAAGGAATTTGTGAATTACCTGTACGAGTCTCTGTTGCTGATGGTGTCGTGGCCCGAATCTTCCTGTTCATCTCCTGCTACGTTAAAGCACACTCTCTTACTGTTTCTCTCACCCTTTTCATTGTCACTGTCTGTCGGTGTGAGGGGCTCCGGCGTCTTACGTTCTACTTTTGGAGAGTATGTGATTGAAGACAGAAGGCTGCAATGTGATGGTAAATAACAATGATAATAAGTACACTTCTTCAAACTAGCTGCTACAGATAAGAACATATTTGTTAAACATGACAGGCTTACAGGTATTTCTGGAGGGTCTTCATCTTTCATAGGACATAAATATTCTATTGTGTAAAAAGAGATGGTGAACAAAGCTCATTTTTTCCTCTCAGAATAATAGAAAGAGCCCACAATTTAGAAGAGGGCTGCATTCAAGTCCTGGTCCTGCCTTCTGCCATTTTCTAGTTTTGTTATTAAAGTTACAATTCTCTTAGCCAGCTGTAAAATGTGGATACTAAGACGATCTCAAAATAAAGACCTGGAAATCCAACTCCATGAAGGGTACAGGCTAGAAAACCCACAGAGGTCGTTGGGCTCTGTCATGTGTGGTCTCGGTGAGCTATGGCCCCACCGGCAGCCACAGCAGCCACCTGCATGGTAATGGTGGGAATGACAGGAGAGCAGCGATTCCTGGCATAGAAGGAATTAGCGCCATTGCCACATGAACACACTTGGTAAACTCCAGTCTTGCCCAATAATGAAACCCACACACTAAAAGCATTCTCATATCCTCCCTAGCTCACCTTCGGAGATTAAAAGCCCACTGCCCTATCCGCCCTGGCCTTCCGCTTCCCCAGCTCTTTCTGATAGGGAGAATACTGTTTGTTGATTGCCTTCTCATTGTTCTTTCCAACAAGGGTCTTGGCTTTCGTGATTGGGGGAACCTGAGGGCTGGATGGGATGTAAGGCAGCTAAATCCTCTATGCTCATGATTATGGGTCTGGGAAGTTGTCCCCAGTCAGGGAAGGTCTTCACGGTTATGAGCTATAAATAAGTCTTCTTGTACATTCTCTTGATTGGACATAGTCTCCCCAATAACTGCCCATAAAGGAGCTTCCATAAAAGATGTCTCATATTTGGCTAGGCTATTCCATGGGCCTGGAGGTTATCTTTAGATAAGAGCAATCAGGCTTTATAGCCAAACCACCTTAAAATGTAGCAAACCCTTGGGAGGGTTTTAGGTCAAACCTGGGGAGGGGGGTTTTTGAGGTCAACACCATGACTCATTTCATTGATTGTTTATAATGTTACCTGCTTATGATATTGCCTATTGACTGTATATATGTTGGCTGTATGGTGCGTATGCCTTTTGAAAGATCTGTAAGCTCCATTATATAAACCCATATGAAATTACATTCATTCTCTCAGTCCTGACATGGAACAAGGTGCCCCTGTGCCCCATTGTATGTCTGTCTTTAATATTGTCCACAATTGCAAAGTTGTCCCTGAGGAACCGTTTGAGTGTTAAGGACCCCAACAAGTGATTCCAAGATGCTAAGCAGAGTGACATTCAATGTGAGGGTGGGAAAAATTAGGAAGCTACTCCCATCTCCCCGCTAATCTTGACAGGATGAAACATCACACTTCACCCATGGCCAAAAATACATATTTATATTCTAAATGGCTGTACAATTTGGTGAGTGCTCAGAGTGGCTAGTGGTACCACCTCTCTAGAATTGACAGGAGTCTATAAAATGCTTCAGTCAGAACTAACTCAAAATTGTGCAAGAGTTGATTAGCAAGCAGTATGATATATAAAAATTAAATCATATGTAAATCAAGGGACACAGGTATTGCTTCTCAAACCAACAATCATCTAATCATCTTTTTTGTTTACTAAGTACCAAGGGCATTTTTTTCTAGTTGATAAACGGATCTTAAAAAAAGGTTTTATTGGCATAACATTCACATATCATACAGTTCGATCATATCAAGAAGACTCATGCAATAATCACCACAATCAGTTTAGGAGATTTTCTTCATTCTTACACTCATTGTTATTAGCTCCTCATTTCCCCAAAACTCCTGTTCCATTATCTTATGGAAACATTAATCCAATTACTGTCCCTATTGATTTATCTATCCTGGATTCCATATACCAAGAAAACATTAAAAAAAAAACCCACAACAGTAACAAAGTAAAGCAAAGTAAAAAAGTGAAACAGTAACAAATAAAAGCCTCAATTGAAAAGAAAGCAGGAAAAATATTAATATTTTAAAAACTAGAAGAGATTTAAATGGATCATACGGGAGATAAAATGACAGGGTGCTAAATTTCAAACTAACTGCATGTGCAACAATCCACTGTCCAATACTTTCTGCGTGATCCAAAGGGCATTCATATCCCTGGCTCATGATCAGAGGGTATTCTCCCAGGGCTTAATCCATATGTATTTCCCCTTCAATTATTTTTTTAACAGCTTTAAAATGAGTCAAATGGAAGAGCAAATGAAAGGCATTACATCTTAACCTAACTGCATCTCCCCTAGTTGACTTTACAGTGTTCTCTGTCTACTAACAGGGCTCTTCACATCCCTTAACAATGATCAAAAGGGATTCAACAGAGGCAAAATCCATTTGTGGACCCTGCAAATGGATTTTGGGTTTCCACTGTCATCCATAGTTTTCTTCAAATCAGGTGTTCGCAATTTAAGTTCTGATATCATTCCCTCCTTTAGAATTGGATTATATCATTTTACAATCCTTGGATCATAGAGGCTGGTGTGCTGATCACTAGAAAGCAAGCCTTTGAGACCCACCTGGTTTCTTCACCAAACTTTGGTATAGCACCCATATTTTTAGTGATCTCTATTTGGTCTTAGGTTGGGGCAAGAATTAAGTGAAATCCCCAAATGGATTCTTGGTTCCTATATGTCTCTAGTTCACCTTCGAGATATCATTGTCATTTTCTGTTAGAGAATATTATCAATCATTCCCCTGGGGCATCACTTTCACTACCACCAAGTCAATGCTGACTCACAGCAACCCTGTAGGGCAGGGTGGGACTGCCCCAGGGAGTCTGCTGGCCCACAGATGCTCACAGCTGTAGAAAGCCTCATCTTCCCCTGCAGGTCTTGCTGGTGGTTTTCAACTGCTCGTCTTGGAGTTGGAGGCCAATGTATAACCACTATGCATTGATAGTGACGTTGGTTTAGCCAAGGGTATAGCATTTCAAGCAACACTGAGAAAAGGAAAGTATAGGAGTATAATCCATTATGAACTGCATAACGTGAATTGTTCATTTGTACAGATGAAACTCTTAAGTGACTGGGCCTTATTTGCACACAAAAAATTGGGGTTGGTGATAGGGCAAATCTTCCAATAATATTTATTCACAATCGCAGAGCCACTCCTACCACTCCTACATGTCATACTGAAGTAAGGAGGGCATTAAAAGAGTAAGTATGTGGTAGTTCAGGGCTACCATTCATTAAACACCCTTAAGGCAAAAGGTTCGGACCAAAGTCCAAAGTTGATCAAACATATCTTGACATTCATTCTTCTCTATCAAAGTTGTTTTCTTTTTTCAAGACTATGAAAATAAGTTAACATTTCTTTAGATGCCTTAGAGTCAAACCAATCAGTACACTGAAAAAATACTTGTTGACTGAGTAATTTAATTAATGTGTTGAATATTTTTAGGAGTACCATGCATTATTCTTCATACTGTAGACACAGTGGTCTATAATAAAACACACAAAAAAGGTCCTGCCCTCTTGGAGGTTAAGTTCTACTCGGGGAAAACAAACTGGAAGGTGGCATTTGAATCCTATCTCAGCAATTTAAACGTTTATAGACACTGGGAGAATTGGGAGCACCACATTATATTGTTTCAGAGTTGGAAGCACCATGTTATATTGCTCAAGGCCTTGTGAACATTTTCAATAACAGATAGCAAGGAGTTATATTAATAACAGTTTTTCACTTTGGGAAATATTTGAGGGTCTTATAAGACAGAGTGTATATTTATTTATTTATTCACCCACTCGACCCAAAGGATTAAAACTTCAGACTAACTCCAATTAACCAAAGCACTGCACCACACAGACAGATGCACCTGAAAGATGGAAGAAATGGGGAGCTTCGCCCCTTGTAGTGAGCCCTCTGTGTATTTGGGCCTCTTTTCCATTAAAAATCACGGGCTCTAAGCATCTGTTCCAAACTGTATGAGTCTTATGCAGCAGATTTACCCAATGAAACTCCTCTTTTGATCTCGTTACTGCTGCTTCCAGGGGCATTGATGGCGGAGCCAAGCAAGAGAAAAATCCTTGACAACTTCCCCCTTTTCTCCATCTATCATGATGTGACATATTGATCCAGTACTGAGGATGTTGGTCGTCATTACACTGAGTTGTAAGCCACACTGAAGGCTGCAATCCTTGATCTTCCTTAGCAAGAGCTTCAAGTCCTCTTCCCTTTCAGCAACCAAGGTTGTTTCATCTGCATATCTCAGCTCATTAATAAACCTGCTTTCCTCTAACCTGGACGCCACATTCTTCATCTAAGCCAGCTCCTCTGATGGTTTGCTCAGCACACAAATTCAATACGTGTGGTAAGAGGATTTAACCCTGCTGCACACCTTTCCTGATCTTGAACCATGCAGTATTCCCTTACTCCATTTGCACTACTGCCTCTTGATCCAGGTAAGAAATAGAAGGAGAAAAATAAAAAAGGATCTGTGGATTGTTGCTTGATGAAATGAAGAGATAGAGGATACTTTACTGAGATGGGGAAGATCTTCCTGGCATACGGGTCAAAACTATTTGAGTGGGAAGAAATTTGGAATTCAGCATGGAAACAAATTTATGACTGAAGTGTCATTCATCACCCAAATTACAGGGGAACTGTGAGGATGAATATCCAATAGGGTCTGTTGGCCTAGCACATGAAGGCCTATTATTAATGTTGGTTTTAATGAAGCTGACCCCTTGTACATTTACCAACAAAGTTCTTGGAAAAACCTCAAAGCTGATTCTACCACTCGCGTCATCATCCCTCTTCCTCAGACCACTAAATGTCCTACAAAGCAAGGTCTTCATTCTGGAACATCTGGAATCTTTGAAATGAAGTCTGTTCTTTTCATATATACTACCTTCACTACTCCCCAAACCCTTTCGGAACCCACAAACCCTCTATTTTAAAATCCCATCAAAGATTTCAGACTACCCATGAATTATTTTTTTCCCTTTACTTAATCTTAATGCCCAAGGAAATAACTCTTTGATGGGCAAAAGCATTTAGCCCTTCAAAGCTCTACAGGAATTTCAAAGTCTTGATTAAATTTATAACATCATCTCATGATTCCAGACTAGACAGCAAGTTTATCTAATTTCATCTTCGGTGTTAAAGCTACTATGGATAAAGTAGGAGGATTCAACAAAATCTCTGTGCACTAAACGAAGTTTGGAGAGTAATTCCCAAGCAACAGGGTAATCAGACTTCATCCTAAGACAAGTTCAGCCTTGTGCCCTTTTATAGAAAGGTGAGCCATGAGGTGGGGTTAAGCATATCCTCCTTAAACAATAACACGTTTTAGGACTACTTATCCACCCTGCAATTGCATTTCCGCCTGGCCAAGAATAACTACTACATGATGCAGATGTGGCATGAAAACTTGCTCTTAAACTAATCTGCCAGGCTGTGCTGCACGGCAGCCTCTCCGAGTGCACAGGGCCATGGGGGAATCCAGGTATTTGGACAACTGCACTGCTATACAGTTATCAACTTGCACACTGAACTATGTGGGAACATATTTATATTTAGAATTAAATTGCATGCTGCACATAGGGGAGTTTAAGGACGATTTTCAAACCCTTTGCTAACTTTTCTAATAAACATGTATAACTGGGGAAGGGCTTTTGACACAACCAGAACAGATAGACCAAACAAAAGACGCCGGTACACATCACTTCTAACTCATGGGGACCCCAATGTGCCACAGAGAAGAACGGATCCACAGGGCTGTCGCTGTGCTGCTCTTCAGAGAGGCAGATCACGAGGCTTTTTGCCCTCGAGGTACCAACTGAGGGGTTTAAATTGCCCACCTCCTGGACTGGGAGTCCAGTGCAAACCCTTCACACCCCATGAGTGGGACAATATTCAGTGACATGCAGGTGAGTCCTCAAAGCAGCTTGGGTTAAAATAAACCCTTTCTGTAACCACTGGTTTAAGCCAAGGAAGGGAAATCCCTTGGCTAAAATCTTTTTTCTTAAAAGCATATCTCAGTTCAGTTGTAGCCCAGATTACAGGCGAGAGTCTGATTAATCATCAGGCAGAGGGCTCAAAGAGCTAGTCCCAGGTACCTCCGCGCAAGTGCATCCATTCTCGGGCCATTGCCAAGGCTCTTATCTGAAAAGTGGGAATAGTAAGTCTTGGCCTAACTGCAAGTATGGGATCTGAGCAGATGTTCTCTCGAAATCCCTTTGTGACCTCAGATCTATGATTAAATACCGCTATGTATTGCCTTCTTACTAATCAAAGCTTCGTGCTTCCTCTGTACACTTCTTCTGCTTCTGGAAAACAGCAGCAAGACTTCTAATGTTGAACATATCATATAATCAAACCTCTCTCATTAAATAAGCAATACATAATGGCACGAAATATGCACTTCTCTGTCAGCAAGTCATTCTAAGACAAGATTCAAAAGAATCATACAATTATTTTAAAATAAGCTTCCCCTTCTTTCACCAACCTCATTCCAAACTGTTTACTTTATATTTGTTGTATTATATTTCTCCATTCACATATAATCAGGAATTAAAAAATAAATCCATGTATTAGACAAAAAGAAACACAATTTTAATTCACTATTACTCATAACATTTATCAGAAAAATATTTGCGTAAACCATTGACTCAATCGGATAATTGAAGATCACAGTTAAACAGATATTTGTTTATATTTTTCAACAGTAGATATTTGAAGACAGCTTGAGAAATATGCCACATGTAACATGATTTTAATCTCTAAATTTTAAAAAGGTAAAAAATAAAATATTACCATCAGCCAAATATTACTGTCAACCAATAAAATATCACCATCAGCCAATATTTAATTACCACAAAGTCTTAGAATAATTTCTAAAATGTTGTATCAAACCTTGACAAGGTATGGAAGTGTGGGATTATGTACATCGATATATGTGAAGCAAAACAAGCCTCGATGTTAACCAGTTAAGCACTCAGCTGTGAACCGGAAGGTTGACAGTTTGAACAGAGGTCGGCAGACTTTTGAGACAGAAAAGTCAATCCTGTCTCCTCACAACGAGTTAAAAATTACTCTAAAGCCAAGATACAGTTTTGTAAACAAATGAAATCACCATTATCTAAATAATATTCTTCAAATATTGTTTCAATTTCACTTCGGAGCCACATGAGGTACATACGGCTGGCAAGCCTCACTTTGCTGACTGCTGTATTAGCTGCTCGGGAGAAAGGTGCGCAGTCTGGTTGTGTAAAGCCTGTATTCTGAAAACTATGCAGACGCTGTATTCTGTCTTATGTGGCCAGGCTGCTGTGAATCAAAATTGGCTGGACAACGATGGCATGCAAACTGAAAAATGGACACTTGATATCAATCTAAATCAACAACCACATAAAGACAGTGTTTTGTTTTGTTTTTAAGTGGGGCTGGACACTGTTAGGTAGCAAGTCCGACTCCTTGGTATCTCATGTAAAACAGGATGCCATGCTGGCCCAGCCTGCCCAGCCTCACCAGCCTGCCCATGTTTCACGCCATCCTTACAGGTCCAGCATCAATCTGCTCATATCTGCTCCATTTTTAGATTCTTCCAACCTTGACTATATCCAGTCATTTCTATCCCTTGCATGGATAGAAACACTTGAGAGTGTTTTATATGTTTGCTTTTAAAAAAATAATTTTCGATTCCAACTTCTCATTAGTTGTAGTTATTCATCATTCCTTCTATGTTAGAAAAGGTGACTCAGGACCAGGACTGGGATCCAGGCTTGCACTTTTCTTTTTCTTTCTTTCTTTCACCATCTTTGGCTGCCTGGGCTAGATGTCAACAGTCATCGCAAGCCCCAAAGAAAACAGAACAAAAACAACTAATCCAGTTCCCATTCCATTAATTTCAACTCACGGTGACTCCCAGTGTGAATAGACTTGTACACCATTAACAGACCACGCTGCCTTTCTTCTGAGCCAACTCTCAAACAAACAAACAAACATACAAACAACCCTCACTGCCATCAAATCACCTCTGACCCAACGTGTCCCTACAGGAGAGAGAGAACTGCCCCCTTCGCCTGTGGACTCTGTAATGCTTTACAGGAGGAGAGAGCCTCGTTTTCCCTCATGGAGCAGCTGGTGGTTTCTCGCTGCTGGCCATGTGGTTGGCAGCCCAAGGTGTAAACCCCTGGGGTACGGGACTCTGAGTCAACGCTGGTGAATGGAAACAGTCAATCTTTGATTGGCAGCTAAACATGTAACCATTTGTGGCAGCTTCAAAATAAACCACCAACCCCACAACCCTGGGGTCGATTCCGACTCATAGAAAGCCTGTGCAGGGTTTCCGGGACCGGGATTCTTTCTAGGAGCAGCCAGCCCCTTCATCTCGAGGAGGGGTTGGTGAGCTTGGGTCACCCACCTTGCAGGTGGCAGCCCAACTAGGAAGTCCTGTGACATCAAAAGGTGGCAAGCCAGTCTCCCCAAACAGGCCAGAAATTATTCATTTCTGAATGTAGAATTTGAGATGATATCTATAGAAACATTCTAATTAATTGTGCCCACCATCTCTTAGTTAAAACTTTCAAATATCGCCACGGGTATTTATGTTATGGCATAGGAAATTATTGATTCACTCAGACCAGAAAAATAATTATTGGGGCTTTTACTTAAGGATTTTACATTTACTCATTAACAACTAGGTACTTGACAAATTTTAAATTTCTCACTATTTATTGAGTGCATATATATTAACACTGCTACATAAGGGACATAAGACCTATCCCATATACATCTACTCTGTCATACTGATTTCTCAATGTAAGTCTTGCACTCTGAGATATAGTTAGTGCACTTGAACACACAGTAATTTCACATAAATTAGAGTGTTGTCTTCTCCTCCTTGGTATTAAGTTTCTTAATACCAAGATTTACGTAAACTTATTTGTTAATACTCATATAAGTTTGCTTTTTTCTGTGAGTATCATTTTTTTTGACATGTTGGAATGAGGAGAATCTATGTGTGAGGCTGGGTTGACTACAGAAACAAATCCAAAGGCATATGTGTGTAAGAGAGAGTCTTATATCCAAGAGCAATTGTATATTAAGAAAACATCCCAGCCCAGTCCAGCTCAAGTCCCCAAGTTCAATAACAGCCCATATGTCCGAAACCAGTCCATAAATTCCTCTCCAGATTCACATAACACATGCAATGATGCCCAATGCAGGAAGATCACTGGCCTATGCATGGAAAATACTGAGAGAGTGTGTGTCCCGCCTCCAGGGAGGAAGACAGGAGTTCCCAGAATCGTCAGGAGAAGGCCAGGCCCACACAGAGGCATCATTGGCTATGACCTGATTGACAGGCTAGACTCCACCCCTCCGCTAAAGTTGACAGATCATGTAGCTGTCAAAATATATAAAGACAGCACAAATCTAACACATCTCTGAAATTAAAGTGAGAATGATTAGGGCCACAAAAGGCACGTCTTCTATAGTTATTCTTTTAGGCAAACCTAAAAGTGCAGTTTAAAATACTTACTCATCTATTTGGCAAACACACATCTCCACCTCTTTCAGGGCAGTCTGAAGTTTTCCCAACAGTTTCTGATATATATCCTGGGTTTCTAAGTCTTCTTCCTTCAACAAATACCGGAGACCATGCCCGTCTTGCTGTCCCAGTGACAGGCCGGAAGGGGCTGCCATCGTTGTAATTGTGTGCTGAATGTACACCATTGGGCTCAGTTTCCCTGAGAAGTTAAAATGGTCCCACAGTAACTTTTACAACCTTGAACGTACAGTAACAATTCAATCCAATTTTCATGGGGGGGGGGGCCTCAAGCTAAAACAATAAAATTCCAACCAAAGGCTGAATTTAGTTCAGGAATGAAAGCTTGTAAGGAGGTAAAAATCTAGAAAACCACTCTGATCCCTTTTCCTATCGTAGTTGTGCTGAATCGTATTAAATATTCATGTAGTTGCTATTCCTTTACTTTTCTCAAAGTCAGAGGGCCATTTCAGATGAGTTTTTTTCATAGAAGGTCAAATTGTGCCCATCAAAGGGGCAAGATCTACCATTCAGAAAAGAAAAAATTAAATAAAAGTGTAATTTCATTTTCATTATGTAAATGCTTATGCAAAATTATCCAAATTCTTATATTGAGGAATCCTTTCAAATAAAAGCTCAGATTTTCTTATACACCAAGAATCTGTCACATGTCAAGGAAGCTGTGATAACTGTGATCAAATAAATGACTGGCTGTGATTTGGTAGAGTTCAGAACTTCACATACCTTGATCAGAAGATTTATGATCTTTATCGTGAGAATTGTGCTTCCTACTGTCCAACTGTACACCAAATGCGCTCCCCAGGGAGGTTGATGTTTTGGGATAAGAAACTTCCATCACATTGATGTGACAGTTGGTAGGGCAGAAGTCACTGCTGTGCAGTGGGGAGATTTTGGATTTGGCCTGTTTAAAGGTGGGCCAGGCTCTATTCTTCAGAACACGGGAAAACTGTGAAGTAAAGAAAGCATAATCCAATTAAAATAGCTCAACCGCTTCGCTGCATCAGTCACGAAGGGAAAAAAATTACAAGAAAATTAAAGCATGTCAACTGGAACGAGTGAAATAAGTGAAAACTTTTTAGAGATTAAATCGTTATTTGAAAATGCAAATGTTCTTAATAAAGCAAAGTGTTATCTGAAGGGAATATGCATGCTTCTCTTGAAACTGATTTCAAATTAGGTACTAAAAGAGATGAATTTAAGTGAGCCACACAATGTAACAGGGCTCCAGTCCCCAGACTTAGCAGCTGACAGAACCTGATGGAGAATCCCATGACACCAAGAGAAGAATTAGGAATTTAAAACAAAGTAAGGTCGTAGAGTCGAGTACTGTTCAGTTTAGGACAGAAGAATATAGGCTCATTCCGAATCTCATCGGAAGCTATCCAAACCAGGAGTCTGTGGGTGAGTCATAATTGAGATTTCGTGGTGCTGACCCCACAGCAGGATGAAAGACAGACCCAACCCTACTTTCCGGCTTCCTGCTAATCGAGGTTGAGCTCATGGGCTCATGACCAGCATAATAGCTAGTGTGAATGATGCTTTTGTCCCCACTCACAATAAAGGGACGCTGGAATAATCAGACAAATTCCAATATGGCCATGCCACTTGTTAAAACGTTTGTCCTTGCCATGGTTTCAAAGCTCTCCAAAATCAGGTGCTCACCTACTGCTTTCAAGCTCTTCTCCCCTCCCTGCGATCCTTCTAGCCCTCACTCAGTTCCTCTTATGCACCATGGCCTCTGTACAGTCTGCTCAGTCGGCCAAAGATGGCCATTTCTCCTCATTCACAAACTTCTTCCTATGCAACCTTCAAGCTCTATTGAGAGGTCTGCCCTCAACTCAACCTTACTTTTGATTTCTATGACTATAACATAGTTTGTAGCATACTGCTTCGCTTTCATATCCGTTCGAACTGACAAAAGGAGACAGCGAGTGAGCCACCAACAAGAAAGAATGGGAGGCTGGGTGGCAGCCTGTGTGGTGTTACACAGAACTGATGAACAAAGGTTCAGGGTCAAAGGCTCATATTACAAATAAGATGTTTTGAGTGAGGCCAGTGAGTATGCTGTTGGCTTTGGCAAGACATGGGTCACCTATGACCCTAAGAGACTGTCAACTGAATGGAGAGGAGCAGAGCCTAAATGGAGTGTGTTGCAGAGAATGAAAGGTGAGATTAATATAGGCTACAGGTATAGAACAGATAGAGAAAGTAAGTCGTCAGTAAGTCTAGTTGCAAACAACAGATATAGATAGCAGATATAGACCACAGATTATAGACCGCAGATGTAGAGGACAGGCATAAACAATAGCTACAGGGATAGACAGCAGGTATAGACGATAGACCACAGGCAAAGACTACCAGTGTAGTCTAAAAGTAAAGACAATAAATACAGACAATAGCTCTTTCTAGGAGAATTTCTGGAATGAAAACAGAGAAATGGAACAATTGGTTAGAGTAGCACAGGGTCAAGGGAAGCAATCATATTTTTTTGTAATAAAGGTGATATTTAGAAAAGTAATAATCGATTCTTGGAAGTGAAACTAAGTTTCTAAAACATTGATAGTTTGTTCATGAATAATTTAAATAATTATAATATTTAAATAATTGTAAAATGTTAAATATAAATAATTTAAATAAAAGTATTTATAGTCACTGACTAAAATAATACAGAAGTATTAGTTCACCCTTCATTTCCATTAAGTCTGTCACTTCAATTTCAGTGCAAACATTCTGTTGGCGTGGAGTGATAAAAGTTAGATTCAGGAATGCCGCGTGAGAGTCAGGAACATGAAGAGGGATTTTACCCACAGTTCCTAGCACTAAAACCTCCAGTTCATCAGTCTGAAGGTTATGTAGCAATAATAACTAAATGTACTGGGAATGTTCAAAGTAAAACTTGTGATTTCTGCATGTAACATTTTTGTGTAAACAGGCATTATCCCTTGAATGTTGATAAATATTTATGTTTTAGAATGTCTCTTCAATACCCCAAGTAAGTCCAATTATAGAATTATTCTAAAATCAATACATGAGCCCAGAAATAAGAAATGTCTTAAAGACAATGTGGGGTAAAATACTTCTTCAAATAGTGCCTCTTTGTCCATCTGAGCCAGCCACCCACACAGTCTGCACCACAGATCATAAATGTCTGGGTAGGAGTCATTGAGGTCATCGGCAAGGTTCAAACGTCTCTCACACATGTGCTGAAAACATCTGTGGCCTGTACAACCAGCACAGAAAACTATCATGACCACAGCAGCCTGGCTATCAAAACAGTAGACAATCACTGGTTTATCATTTAAAGTGGGGGTCCTCAAACTACAGCCCGGGGGCCACATGCGGCCCGCTGAGGACATTTATCCGGCCCGCCAGGTGTTTTTGCCCTGTTTATATTTTTTTACTTCAAAATAAGATATGTGCAGTGTGCATAGGAATTTGTTCATAGTTTTATTTTAAACTATAGTCCGGCCCTCCAACTGTCTGAGGGACAGTGAACTGGCTCCCTGTTTAAAAAGTTTGAGGACCCCTGATTTAAAGCCTAAAACTTTCAGAGTTAAAAAAATAAATAAAGCCAGACTCCTGAGATTTTTGTTTCATTATACTTTTTTTGTGTGTTTCCTTAGACATCGTGTACAACGAGGTGTCTAACACCTTCACCTGGAAAAAATTTACTTAACAATAAAGATGTAGAAATTACACAGCCTAATGACAAGCACTATAGTTTCTGTTGAAGTGAATTTGATCCACTGACTAATTGCAGATGATCAAAAGCTGTGAGGAACCTAGATTTATTCAAAAAGGAAAGATGCTTGAAATATTTTCCTGTAACCTTGCTACTTTATCTAGTGAGAATGCTTGTTAATCATTTTGAATATGCTCATGGTCGAGAAATTATCATGGAAAACATGCCTTTTAAAATATACAGACCATAGTTAATTCCAAATTTCTCTCTCATTTAAAAATAAAAACAAAGGAGACCACCTTCTACAGGGCTCATACCCAGGGTGCTACTTGTGGCCTGAAGCCAATCCTTAATCTACCTAAGAAATAAGCAAGATGATAGGAGTCAGTGCACTAGGCTCTCTCAAGGTTCAAGCAATCATGTACAGGAAGAGAACATTCTCTAATCCTGTTTTATGCTATTTTTACCATCTGATAATACTGCCCAGTTGTCAGGTCACCCCTGCTTTCCTCAGTATATGGGAGGCCCTTCTCACGCACCAGGAAGCATTTGAAAATCCCCAACATCTTGTGGGAAATCCAGTATTACAGTAACTCTCATTCCCCACAACATACACACTAGTGAGTTTATTACCATTGTTTGCTGTTGTTGTTAGAGACAAAGAGTGAGAGCTTCGGCTACCATAACGAAATTATTATAAAATGACATCTATTTTGTTGCCTACACATATCTTGGATTGATCCATTCCTCTCCATCAACACAAGCCTAAGTCACCACCAACTTGCACCCAACAGCAAAGAGAAATTCCTAATTTCCCTACTCTCTTTTCAGGGAAACCCCCACATCCTGCAAGCTAATTCCCCCATCCACACTTTCAATAAAACTGCTGCCATAGTGATTAAAAATAATAATCTAGTCATCATACCACTAAGGGAAAAAAAAACACCTGAAATATGACTTTATCAGTGTTTTTATAATTACACTGAACACAGATATTAAGGATGGAATGAAATTTGACATTCAAATAATAACTACATGTTAATTATTTTATCTATTATTTAATTTTAATTATTTGAGGATATTTTAATTGATTTAATACATAGATTATTCACCTTTTTGTAGCTGGATATTCTTTGACATATGTGCTCAATTTTTTCACTGCAAATGGCATTAAATTTACTCTGAAGGTCAGTAGGAATCACTTCATTTAAAGAGTTGAGGCTGGTACAGCTTTGTACAAAATGATCATCACTTTTAGCCAGGGCTTCGAGAATCTGTAGTAATGAAACACACATACACACACACACACGGACATATACAACACAACAAAATGAGACAAAAATTAAAACTTCATTATCAGCCAAGCACAGTTCATGATTTAACACCATAGGTTGGCCTTGATTGGTGTTTATATTTTAGCAGCTGTCTGCCATGTGTGCATTCAGTAAAGCATGGTAGGTTAGAGAGCGCCCTTTTTACCTAGTCCTGGCTAAAATCTCTGCTGGAGCCAGCTGAGATGACTTCAAAGATTCCCTGCTGGATAGATCAGTACACCCGCGTGGGAACACATGCCCTAAGCTTTAATCCATGTTACTTGGCACTTCTCTCTTGCTCAATTTGGTAGAAGAACAACAAAGACTAAAGGAGGCCAGTAGCGCCCTTGCTTACTCCGGAGAGCCCAGCACAGAGTGAATTTAACACATGTCTGCTGGAGGAGTGGAGAGAGGAGAAAGTGGAGGGAGTTATCTTGCTGAAGTGTGAGTACCTGCTCCCGGGGCTGTCTGCGCTCTCTGACAGAAGCAGAAGATAGAAACAGGCACATGTTGTTTCAATCAGTGAATTCTTTGGACTATTTGAAGCAAATGCAAACCAGCTTTTGTGTGTGGGGGCGGGGGCGTCATGCACACACAAGCACGTGTACTGTTGATCACTGAGAGCTCTCTATGAACTGACAGTGAAGTGTGTACGGTATGTATATGTAGCATTTATGATAGTCCAAAAATTACAAGGATAAGATTCTTTTTTACCTTGTATTTTTGTAATGTCATATGATAAAATGTATATATGTTATATTTATTTAGGCTCCTTCAATTCCCTATCTGTATTTACCTATCTCAAAGAAGATGGAAGGACGTTTTTGTTTAATGACTACTCTAGAAATTAAAGCGGGCTATCATTATTAGTGTGATCTTGGTTAAATTTTTAGCTTCTTTTCCATTCTTTCCTTCATTTATCAAATGGAAAAGACATCCGAACATGAGTTTATGCAACTACCATACAAAAATCAACCATAAAATTTTGTGAACTTGAAATCATGAGAAATGAGGTAAAGCCATGATAATAATCTGATCGCAAACACTTACACAGCCAAAGCAAAGCTAATTGCCATTGAGTTGATGCCCACCTATGCAACACGGTAGGGCAGGGCAGAACTGCCTCTGTGAGTTTTGGAGGCTGTAACTTCACCGGTGCGGACAGCTTCATCTTTCTCCAGACTCCAGAAGAGTGGCTGGTGGTTCTGAACTGCTGACCTTGGGGTTAGCAGGCCAACTCATAACCACTACCTAGTGGGGCTCCTGTACATTTACGTGGATCCCTTTAGCAGCATAACACATTGGGAAGGAAGTTACCTTTTGAAAAACATATGTATTTTCTAGCAATAGATATGGAAAGGGTTCAAAAATCCATGTAACATTTTCATTATCTTTTAATTCAAATTTCCTACAAAGTTTTCGAAGCCCGCTTATGCATGTTGTTGTTGTTAGGGGCCATCCAGTTGTTTACCACTCATAGTAATGTCATGTACAACAGAATGAAACACTGCCTGGTCCTTATACATACAATTCTACTATATCACGAGAATGACGACTCTTTGTAAACTTCAAATTCAAAGTCAAAGAAATAAAATGAAGCAGTTATTTTTTGGAAGACCACTTTTTATCTCTCTAGATTATTTGGTCAGACTTAAATGAATCCCCCCCCCCAAAAAAAATCTTACTAATGTTAAATCTATGAACTATACACCTTTTAAATAAGAATTAAACTGAAGAAATAAAGGCAAGGAAGTTATGTCTCATTTTTATGACTTGTACTATCTGAATTCTCACAGGGGAACATAAAAAAGGTGAGATCCTAAAGCCCAGATCTAGGGGGACACAGTGAGTGACTGATGGATTACTCTTCCGCAGGAAGGAAGAGCCAGGTACCGAGCTAGCACACCACCCCCTTTCGCAATAGCGGTCTACGTATTTGGATGAAGAGCCCTTCCTTTCTTCCCATCTTGGTTTTAGTCTCGGTGCCTAATGAGGATGCCCTTTCCAGATAAGAATAATAGAAATGTACAAAGATCTATTCATAACCCGATCCCTAAGCTTCCTTGACATTTGATCAAATAAGCATGAGACTTCAAAATGTGTGGTTTCTTACTATAGTTCACAACATCGGCAGAGAATTATGTACCCTAAAACACAGAAACAGACCCATTTGAATGGTATTCTTGATACTGAGTGAATAAATGTAGCAAAATTAATAAATATGATGATGATGATGATGATGATGATGATGATGATGATAAAGAAGCCTTTGCCCCATCAACTAACACTCACCCAGCCAAGAGTCCCATCTAACCCTGTCTCCCAAAGGAGACAAGTAAAAGGAAGAGTGTACACACACTGAGAAATGGGATGAAAAACTATAAAAAGAAGTTTCATGAGCTGGATGCCAAAACATGTACAAGTCTTTAATTATCAAAATCTTACAATGCAGGGGGTCTTTTTTTTTTTTAAAGAATAAAGTATTTATCTCTAGGGTCATTCATACCTTGGCAGTTAAGCTGAAGAAACCTTTGGGCTCAATCATTTTCTCCACCATGTTGCACTTGATCCCAGCAGTGCTATCGTACTCATACACGACCCCGTATTCCAGGTGCACGTTATCCACAGTCAGGCTCACATGCTCCTTCTTCCCCTCAATGATGGCCATGGTGTTGAACTTGTCAATCACCTCTGGGTTAAAGGCAATTTTAACTTGAATTAGCCTCTTCAAAATACTTGCGTCTCTTTGGTTAATTTTCGAACCCCAATAAAATCAAACCCTTTTGCCACTGTATCAATTCTCACTCTAATGACTCTTACTTTGTGTTTCTGAAACTGTAATGTTTTAGGGAAGCAGAGAGCCTCAGCACGCTCCCACGGACTGGCGTGAATTTAACACATGTCTGCTGGAGGAGTGGAGAGAGGAGAAAGTGGAGGGAGTTATCTTGCTGAAGTGTGAGTACCTGCTCCCGGGGCTGTCTGCGCTCTCTGACAGAAGCAGAAGATAGAAACAGGCACATGTTGTTTCAATCAGTGAATTCTTTGGACTATTTGAAGCAAATGCAAACCAGCTTTTGTGTGTGGGGGCGGGGGCGTCATGCACACACAAGCACGTGTACTGTTGATCACTGAGAGCTCTCTATGAACTGACAGTGAAGTGTGTACGGTATGTATATGTAGCATTTATGATAGTCCAAAAATTACAAGGATAAGATTCTTTTTTACCTTGTATTTTTGTAATGTCATATGATAAAATGTATATATGTTATATTTATTTAGGCTCCTTCAATTCCCTATCTGTATTTACCTATCTCAAAGAAGATGGAAGGACGTTTTTGTTTAATGACTACTCTAGAAATTAAAGCGGGCTATCATTATTAGTGTGATCTTGGTTAAATTTTTAGCTTCTTTTCCATTCTTTCCTTCATTTATCAAACGGAAAAGACATCAGAACATGAGTTTATGCAACTACCATACAAAAATCAACCATAAAATTTTGTGAACTTGAAATAATGAGAAATGAGGTAAAGCCATGATAATAATCTGATCGCAAACACTTACACAGCCAAAGCAAAGCTAATTGCCATTGAGTTGATGCCCACCTATGCAACACGGTAGGGCAGGGCAGAACTGCCTCTGTGAGTTTTGGAGGCTGTAACTTCACCGGTGCGGACAGCTTCATCTTTCTCCAGACTCCAGAAGAGTGGCTGGTGGTTCTGAACTGCTGACCTTGGGGTTAGCAGGCCAACTCATAACCACTACCTAGTGGGGCTCCTGTACATTT